TCCTTCAAAAAAATCTTATGTTCTTTGCAATGCAAACATGGCCATTATTACAATAACTTGATATCATGGATGCACATTTTTTTTTTATGAACATGAGTTGCATATACAGTAGTATTTGAATGCTGAATCTGGAGCTGTATTCCAAAAAGTAGGTGATCATAAAATAAGGGGGTCCAAATCAAAACTAAATTAACACGCACACCTTTAAAAATCAGTTGATTCCCCTCAAGTCAGCCTATCTTCTCGTTTGAAATAAATTCATCTTCTCCTTTTGAAATCATGAATTTAGTATAACTGTACAGAATGAAGTTTCTACTCTGCGTTCTTACTCAACCAAGGAAAAAGGGCACCAGCAGGTGAGAGGATTCTTAAGTGGCTTAGTGGAAACTGCCTGGCAGAATAAACACAGAGTTTTCTGGCTGTGGAAGCTACGGTAGTATGGGGTTGTGTAATTTTGGCTTTTCATTCAAAATGCAGACAGAGGAGATGCAATGGACGAAACAGCAAATGAATCTGAAGTCTTAAATATTAATGGGAAATGAAGTAATAAGAATGGTCAGGACATACTGAAGAAACTAGCATGATTAAAAAACAGGAACAAAATGTAAATAGTAGGTAGTCAAGGACCTGTATGAAACAGAGATGTGTCTACTCAATATATTTCAAAATACCTGCGGCGTGATTTAAACAGAATGGAAAGGGTAGGGAGATCAGGCTGCACTCACAAATGAAGGAGGCTCTAACAGTAGTCAATAACAATGACATTGGCTCATCATCAATCTTTTTTTTTTTTTTGCCACTGCAATTTGGAGCAAATGTCGATACTGAAATTGTGACTTTTTGACGAGTCTCTTTCGGGTTGTATCTAAACTTGCAAAGAGAATGCCACGCATCCTGCAAGCAAGCTGTGTACGTTTACTTTATATGGTCAATGATATATACAATTTTAGACACCTTGTCTCCAAAATAACATTTGTAGATATAGGAAGAGGATGAAAGTAACCCATGTGACCTATGATCGTCTCACACATTTTGTTTAATGCATGAGTATATTTATTTAAATTCTATTTTTCTTCACATGAACCCAAGGCCAGTGGGAGACTGTTTCTCAACTGTAGTCCACTATATTTTGAAAATATAGGGACCACTCAAACAAACACCCCTTTCCTTACATTTTCATCTTGTAGTACATGGTAATCTACAGTTTTAGTGAATTAGATAATGATTATAGTTGCATTTATATATGCCTTCCCATCCATTTCATTTTTAAAGGACTTTTTAAGCTAGGTTTGGAGCAAATGTTTATATCCAAAACGAAAAATGTATTTTCTATGAACAGCATATTCACATGCCATATCCCATCAGGGAATCCCTTCAGTTCCAAAATACTTTGCTTTAAGATACATGGTGGTGGTGGTTGGAATTATAACTGAGGAAAATGGTATTTAAGGGCAATTCATGATTAATGTAATACATCGTTTTGTCCTCATTAAAGTCTGGACTGGATGTTGCACAATATGTGAAATCACACCATAATGAGGAAACTAGAAGACTGAAATGCCACTCAGGGTAAGTTAATAATATCTAACCCCGCTATCTTCTGCAACAGATTTACCCAAAGAGGTAGGGTAAGTTCAGGTATGTTTAGAAGAATTGTGGCCAAATGTAACCTGTTTGGGGAAGAGAGAGAGAAGGAAAGAAACAGTGTGTGTGTGCTGGATAGATACATGGTTACCCCCGTCCTTAATCTCTCATGGAACCCCACAAACTTCTTCCATAACCCTAGGGTTCTATGGAACACAGTCTGAAAAACCTAGGTTAGAAATTCTATCTCAGCATAGTCTAACATTTGACAGTGAGGCAACTATTTTAGGGAGCACGTGTTGTGGACAAATAGCAATAACTCCTAGTTATTCCCCTTTATAGAAAGACAAGATTGTGTTTACTGCTTGACCTCCTAAATTTGTCTGCTGCCTCAAGGACACTAGAAAAGGCTATCCTACCACTACTACTGTTAGATTCATTTGCCAGTCCAGTTGGATTTTATATGTGGCATGACAAAAAAGTAATTATGTGGCAAAATATTTCAGATTGCCTTGTTTCCCTACCTTTCTCTAGCAAGATAAATCCTGGTCTCAGAGAATCAACTGTTTGCTTTGACATTTTGTTGTATAACATGAGAATCAAATCTGAAATCTGTATTTGGAGTCAAATCTAACCATTGCCAGCTTGGATTTTTGGTAAAACATAGTTATTTCCTACAACAGCAATTTTGCATCTGAGATCTCCATGGTAGCCATGTTGTAATGCTGTGAGTAAGTTTCTCAAGTTTTTGGAGCAAAAAACTTCCAGTTTGAATGACTTCAATGCTATCAGAAGTGGGGTACCATTACTGGTCATGTACATGGTACTCAGTACAGCATGACACATCCTTCACAGATTAGATTTTTGACTGGGACTTAATAGAATTCCAGCTGCTTGTGATTATAGATGTTCAGTATTTCAGAGGCAGCCAAAAGATGTGTGCTTTGCCATCCTGCTGATGCAAATGGGGAGAGTTATGCTGTCACCTGAAAGAGCTATAATTTGCTCCACTTTAAAACAATGACATCTCCTCCTGCCCAACTTCGGTTGCTCCATCCTCAGTCATCTACATATTCACAACCCAGGTAGATCTGAAAACAGTTTGACCTTTTCATTAAAATGAAAGGGTGTTGATAAAGCACTGAAATCTATCATGACAGGAGGAAATGTTACCTTTGGAATTGCTGTGAAGCTGAATGATAGAAGAATTTCAAATCATGAACATCTGCTGCAATTATTATTATCATTATTATTTTAAAACACATACTTTTTTGCACAGCAGTCGCAATCAGGCCTTGCTTCAGAACAGGTAGCACCATTACAGCCAAACAAGAGATTTGATTAGAATGCCAAGACTATCACTCAGCCTCATTATGGATATAAATGCAGGACTTCCATTCACAGTATATACCATTCTAGCGGTATTTTTTTTTAAGTGCAGAGCACAAATACATTTTATTCTACAGTTGCTCTTCACTCATATTTGATTGCTTTACTTCAGCATTAAAATCTACTTTTTTAGGAAAAACAAGATCCTTCACAATTTTTCTATTGCACACACAAGTATTTTTGAGTAAAGGCAAAAACATTCCTTTTATTTTTTATGTGATTCTATAATCTATAATAATATCATAATATAATAAACCTATAATTTTCCTCCCTCAGTCTAACATGGAAAACAGATAAGTAGACAAAGGGACACACATAGATTTAAATTTAAAAAAAGTTTCTTTTCATCACCCAAAAAAATAAACCAGAAGCTTTTTGTTTCAAAACTTGAGTAACTTGTGGATACAGGTGGTCCTTGTTTAATGACCACTCACTCAGTGACCATTTGAACTTATGACGGCGCTGAATGACTGGTAGTTTCGACCAGTCCTCATACTTATGGCCGTGGCAGCATCCCATGGTCATGTGATCACTGTTTGCGACCTTCCCTGCCAGCTTTCAACAAGCAAAGTCCTTGCTTAATGTCCTGCACAGTCCTTGCTTAATGACAGAAACGGGGACTGCCATTGCTAAGTGGTGCAGTCACATGGTTCTTCAACTTACAACCATGATGCTTAACAATGGAGTTTATGGTCCCAATTAGCATTGTTAAGCGAGGACTACCTGTATCATTACCTGGCTGCCATGAGAACTGTAGATGCAAGAATGCTGTTGTAGGACATAGCATATTTGAGTGGTCCTGAAAGTTACACAAGTAAAATATGAGAAGGAAAGTAAGAATCCCAGTTTTGCATACATCCTTTCTTTAGTATTTTTATCTCCCTCATCATGTCTAGAGTGAACTCGTGTCATGGAAGGAGTTCTATGGAAGGTTCTCCAGATTATGTAGAACAGGGTTCCTCAGTTTCCCCAACTGGAAGAAGCAAAGATGGTTGGCAAGCATAGAAAGGTATGAACAAGTATAGTGAATAACACATGTAAACAAGATTTTTATCCCTTTTGTGTTGCCTATAAAATTTGTACTCTTTTTCAGCAATGAAAAGGAATAGAATGATGGGCATGTACGTATGTCAGTATATCTGAAATTCAGAATTTGAATTCTGGGTACTCACACAAAATGGCTGCCATGAATTGTGTGACCTACCAATTCAAAGGCAAGTGTTGAGAAACAAAACGAGGAGGCTACTTCCTGTCATCCCCTCAAATTTCTCAGGATAGTATCTACCGTCTCACATTACCCTTTTCCTTTTTTCTGGGGAGGACATTACTAAAAAGCACCATACTGAAATGGCATTACTAGCAAAGCAGAATATTTTGTGGATGGTACTTTAGTCTGAGGCATGCAAATCTCACATTTTTTACATTTAAAAAAATCCAAACTTTAAAGTGGGGCAAGCAACCTCACTAGTATCCACAGACAATACATTAGTGACTCATGAGGCAAAATCTCTTCAGAGTAAATTCACATGAATTTTGAATATACAGCACATATTGCACCAGATGAGCATATCCTTTTCTGTGGTGACTGAACAAACGGACGTTATAAGAAATGAACAGGATTTGATTAAATGAAACAAGCAAAATAGGTGGAGAATTCTACTATAATGGCTATCCCCCTGCAATATGGGGAAAAAAAAATAATGATTATGCTTATGATATGAAGAGTTGATCAGCTTTTTAAAAAGAAGTACATTATTTAATTAGCGTTCTATCTGCTTGGCTGAATAAACCAAGCAATTCTTGCTTTAGAACTCTGCCTGGAGAACACCAAAAGTAAAATAAAATATTGAGACATTAAGGTAATAATGCTTCTGCTGCAGGGGCAGTGATACAGAAAGGAGTGCATTATGATGCATCATTGGATAGTCAGTTTCAAAGGATACTTGATAAAAGCATCTGCCACGTGGAACTTAAACAGAGCCACAAAACTGCAAGGACTCTTCCACTTCAATTGTCAACCAACATACCTGCCTCATCATAGGATACAGTCAATTTTTCCAGCATTTCTCGGTCAATTGAGAGAATCTGTTGCTCCAGGATGGTTTGATAGGACAATACACTGTTCTCCTTATCTTTCTCATAATCCTGAAGGTGTTGCTTTAGGACTTCTGGTAAGCGGGACTTCACGTATTCTGCTGCTGACTACAGAGAAAAGAAAGAAAGAAAACCAAAGTTGTCTTTTTTGTGCCATATAAGTTATTTGACCATATATGTTCGTGATATTTCTACTTGTACACATGTACTGTATATAAGTATACACAAAATGAGAGGTACTGTTAGGATTTTAGCAGATGTGAAACATGAGAATTTAAAAACCACAACCTACTATCTCCTTTTCCTTAATCACAGCCCAAGTCTTAAGAGATACTTCTATGCATCTTCTTTTCTTTAGATTATTCTTGATTTCTTTCACTTGCCAGATCGAAAAATCAGGTCTCCACAAAGCCTAAAATATTAAACTTTTTAAATCAACTGGCAACCTTTCTTAGTAGCTTGGCAAAAAGACCAAATTGTAGAGATAGTTCCATGTTTTTTTCTCCATAGGATGCTTGATCTCTGAAATCTACTTGTCCAGTTGCAAAATCTATGAAACTATTAGAATATTGTCAGTGTTTATTCTCACTTTAAAGGAAAAATTCTTCATAGTTAGACTTCAACAATAGCAGACAGCCTTTTTAAATAGCTTCTGTAGTATCTTCAAGGGAGGGCAAATCATCCATGTATTCTTCTAATTTAAATATCAGCATTATTTCAATATGAATGTCTTTGGATCTGATGGAATTAGTTCTATTAAATTCATAATTCCTTCTGTTGGTTATATAGCCATCTTTTTTAAAATTTCCAATTTGTTTCATAGCTTTAGACAGAATGAGATATTTCCTTTCCACTCCCTAGTTCCTCCAGAGGAACAGACTGAATATAATTTGGGATCATCTTCACTTTGGCCAACCTCAAATTCTAAGAATATGGACAAATACCATTACTTTCTCTCCAGGAGACTAACAGGAGAATACAAAAAATACTGTTCAATAAGCACCCTGTCCCTGAGCCACAAAGGATTCAGGCATAATAAAAAGGAAATAAAATAGCTATTAGCACACCTCAACCAAGCACAGGGGAAAAGGAGAAAATAAGTCCTAAACAATATCTATACAGGTAATCCTTGCTTAATGACCACAATAGGGACCAGAAAATTGGTTGTTAAGTGGGATGGTTGTTAAGCAAGTCACACCTGATTTTATGAACTTTTTTGCAGTGGTCATTAAGTGAATTGCCATGGCCATTAAATGAATCACGCAGTTGTTAAGTGAATCACGTGGTTCCCCACTGATTGTGCTTGGCAGAAGTTGGCTGGGAAGATCGCAAATGGCAATCTTGTGACCCTGGGACATTGCAACCATCGTAAGTGTGAGCTGGTTGTCAAGTACCTGGATTGCAATCAAGTGATCACAGGGTCGGGGGGGGGGTGCCGCACTGTTGTAAATATGAGGACCGGTTGTAAGTCCCTTCGTTCAGCACCACTGTAACTTCGAACAGTCACTAAACAAATGGTTGTTAAATGAGGACTATCTGTAGGCTCCAAGAACAGGATGCTGAACCTCTATGGCAAGGTGAAAGGCAATGGAGGAGACAACAAAGAAGATGGGAAATGAAGTATGTCCAGAGTTCCCACCAACAAGAAAACAAGACTACCCACAAGCTCCAGATTTGCTTTAATTTCAAATAAACTGCAGGGGTCGACACTTTCTCTGCTCCTGTTTAACATCTACATAAAGCCACTGAGTGAGATCATCAGGTAAGTTCCTTGCCTGCTTGTGATGAAAGCTATTCTATACAGTCAGTGAGTTGGCATGCTTCTAAATGCACCTACTTGGTAAGATAGCACCTCAAAACATGCATGCTGCTGCACCTCTTGGCCGCAATTATGGACTAGTTAAAAAGGTGACCAGTGAGAAATATTTCAATATAACATTTAGGTTTCTTTCCCAATGTCCAAGGAGAATGAACAAAAATACATGAAATGTTACATATGAGATCTGATGAAAAATTGTTCCCTTTAATTTAACTTTCATTCATTTTCCAGCCAGGGGAATTCTGGGAGTTGAACTCCATACATCTTAAAGTTCCCAAGGTTGAGAAATACTGATCTACATCATTAACCTGAACCTTTGCAAAATTCACTGGAACATCTTAGATTTTTTTTTTTAATCAAGTGGTGATATTAACAGTCTTTTTACAGTCTATATAGTTTTACATTTATGGTTACAAAATAAGTCCCCAAATGGAGAAAACTGTACATGTGTAATTAATTGGGCCATTTCTATTTTTGGATAGAAATCAGTGGTTGGCACAACTTTTAAAAATTTATACACTGCCAAATCCCTATATATTTACAGAATCAAAATTAAAATATCTACAATAATAGCGTTTAATATCTACAGTAAAATCATAAGATAAAATGTCCATAGTAAACAGATTAACAATAGCCTCTTTATAACATCCAATGTTAAAATGTCCATGGTAAAATATTAACTTAAGAATAATTAATGTAACTAGATAACTATCTCAGCCACAACTAACATTCATACCAAACATTCATTAAATATGACTATCAACTGCCAAAGATCCTTTGGAACAACTCCATGTTCACTACTTTCTGGAAGTATCTGATATATAAAGGGAGGTTATTTCATCAAGCAGGTGTCACTATGAAGAAGCATCATCTCCTTATTTCAGCTTCCTGATGTCATTAAATGTGGGACAGCTAAGGCCTTTTCTTAATTGAATGTACTGGATGGATTGATTGTAGTTGACACATGGAGTTTGAATGTTAGTAATTGGCAGCAGAAACTTATTAAAAGAAGGAAAGACTTTTTGTGTGCTTCTGGAGACATTTTAAAAGAGAAACATTGTGAATTTGATGAGAAATAGGGAAGCATACAGCCTGAAGGGAACATGGTTCTGCACATATACTCATTCTTAACAGTAACCATAGCGGTAACTCCAACATCTAAAAAAATCAACAACAGTATTTAAACATTCATGTTTGATCACTGCAATGAAGAGAAATCACACAAAACATGTAATTTTATCACTAGTTGGAAATAAAACTGCATATGATTGAAAATACTCTTAGTAAAAGGGCAATATGGAATTTGTAAGAAGTATGTATCAGATTCTAAATCTACTGAAACTGAAATTGCAACTTTTATTTGAAAAAAAGAAGCAAGAGTGTTTCTAATTCCTTCCCATATATGGTTCCAAGTTGGCAGCATACATCATACTGATGAATATCTGTTAATTTAATGGAAAACGTTATAAAGATCCAATAGCCACTGTCTGTAACTCTATAAAGGTTGAAGCAAATCTATAATTTAGACAACTTTATATGCTATAGATCTGTGGAAAGTCATAAGGATACTGTGCATATATTTCCAAGTTCAGAATATTTAGAGTCCTCTGGAATTTGCTGCTGTCCTAAATTAAGCAAGGGTCTCACTAACAATTCCAGATGGCCTAAGAAATGATTGTCACTATCTCTCTACGCCTCTAGGTTGCCAGCAACAGGACCACAATACAAAAAACCTTCAATTCTTGGAGATGGCTTCACATTCTGTGACTCTATAAAAGTTCTGGCTAGGGAGTTTCTATTGTAAGCTGAATTTGCTGATAATTTATACTTTTTTCTAGAGCAAGGGGAGCAAAATACTAAGATTCAACCTCCAAATTATGCTTAGAGTGGAGAGACATGGCTGAGAGGCAAAATGTTCTCAGGTTAATTTAAATGCATAATTAAATGGGATCATTCTGCCATATATTCAGTAATTTCCCCTTTCTGTTACATTAGTGATTAAAATTTGGTAACAGTTTTTTGAAGAGGCTCTGGGGATTTTACCCAAAGCATACACACAATTGAGATGTGTTGTGAATAGATTATAGTTTTCTCCAATCTGATGTTTTCCAGATTTATTAAGAATACAATAAACTGTTGGCTGGGAATTTTCTAGCAAAGATGGAGATCATGAGATATTTTATATAAATACTAATTAAAATCTATAGACACACAGAAATTCTAGTTCCGCTTTTAAAAAGAAAAAAGCAACACATCCAGGAGAATATATAACAACGAAAGTTTCTAAAAGAGATACATTTTAATTATCTGACTTCCACTTCGCTAAGAAAACATTTTCACTAAAAAGAAACATATATCTCCTTGTGAAGTTTCCATTTCCACTATCAGAGATTTTAAAATGTAACAAGTAAATTTATATAAGGATTGGAAACAGTTGGAAGTATAGAAAGCTGAAACAGGCAACAATTTTACCTAATCTCATGGAACTGGCTAGTTTGCAAAGAAGCCTTGGTTAAACAGACCTTTGGTTCGAGCCAGAAGTCTTAGTTTCATCTGGCAACAATTTAACATTCCTGTAGGAAGACATGATTCACTTCCAGCAGAATTCATACTGTTGTAGAACTGGGTATGTATAGGATGTATTTTTCAGACATGCTCCTCTATGCTGATTTTGGACATAATGACTTAACTGTAATATTTCACCCTACCAAAAAAAGGGCTAAAAATATATTACCTGTCAAAGGTTATGCTTCTGAAAATATTCATGTGACACATTACTTAGGGTGTTCTGTTTTTCAATTCTATTTATAACACAACAAACTCTTCAACTTAATTTGGAAACCACCGAACTTTTTAAAAACTCTGTACAATAATATGTAAAGAACGTAGGATGATTTTTTTTCACTGTCCCTATCAACCTTAATTCTACAACAACCCATGCTAAATATAGTTTGAGGACAAATCTGAAGCTTGGACTGGTTGCTTAAATGAAATTACTATATTTATTAAATACTGAGGAAACAAGCACACACATATCTCAGAACTGCTGAGGTTCTGTAGATATGTGTTTGGTGCTGACCAAGCCTACAATCTTGCTTAATTCAGTTCAGAGAGTAGTTCAAAATATTCAAACCATATATACTACTGAATATACCTTGCAGAAGAATTGCTCACAAATTCATTACTGATTTCTAAAAAAGAGTAATTTCTTCTTAAGCTCATAACAGAATCATAGAGTGGGAGGGCTATTTTGGTCATCAAGTCCACATCAGGAGACTGGGCAATAGGT